GGGATGTGGACGCTGGTTCAGGTGGGGACATCTGGGAAGGACCTGAGAGGCTGGGGCTGATGGGACAGTGAGGGTCCAGTGAACTCTCCAGAAGCTTCTGGCCCTGGGGCAGAAGGCTGAGCTGAGGGTTGGCATGGGTAGCTGCTGTTTCCCTCCCACTCCCACAGCAGCCTGCACCAGGGATTTTGAGGCTGTTTGCACTTCAGGTGTTTGAGAGAAACCCACGATTGTAGGGCTGACGATGTGGAATCTGGCCTGCAGGTCCCATCCCAGTGTCTGCGTCCTCCTTCTGACACTCCCGATGCGTGTTCTGGCATCAGCTGGGGAGCTGTGCTTCTTGTGCTGGGAGTTTAGAAGGAGATGAGAGCTAATGTTCACTGGGCACCTGCAGTGCTCCAGGAATGATGCCAGCTTCTCATTTAGGGCTCACTTCCACCTTTCAACAGATGGACCAAGTAGGACTTAGAAAGCTTAGGACAAATTTGAGTCATGTCAGAACGAGAATTTGAACCCAGCTCTTGAACTTCAAAGCCCTGTTCTTCGTATGACACTTGTGTTTCTCAAAGCGTGCTGCATATTACAGTGGGAGTTAACAATAGTAACAACAGATGCCCACCTGCAATCCATGGAGCTAAGCCCTGCTGGGTTTGCAGAGCTACCCAAGGATCAGAAGGTACAGCTGGGTTAGAAACCAAACCATTGTTTCCCCAACTTCAGTGCACAGCAGAGTCTCCAGGAGGGCTTGTTAAAACAGAGTCCCAGGGCCCAGCTCTAAACTTTCTGATTCAGCAGGACTGGGGTGGGATTTGAGAATTTATATTTCTTTTCTTCTCCTTCTTTTTTTTTTTTTTTTTTTTGAGACAGAGTTTCGCCCTTGTTGCCTAGGCTGGAGTGCAGTGATACAATCTTGATTCACTGCAACCTCCGCCTCCTGGGTTCAAGCCATTCTCTTGCCTCATTCTCCCAAGTCACTTGTATTACAGGTGCCCACCACCGCACCTGGCTAATTTTTGTATTTTAGTAGAGATGGGGTTTCACCATGTTGGCCAGGCTGGTCTTGAACTCCTGACCTCAGGTGATCCACCTGCCTTGGCCTCCCAAACTGCTGGGATTACAGGCATCATGAGCCACTGTCCCCAACCTCTTCATTTTTTTTAGAGACAGTCACGCACGCTGGAGTACAATGATGTGATCATAGCTCATTGCAGCCTTGAACTCCCAGACTTTAAGCAGTCCACCCACCTCAGCCTCCTGAGTAGCTTGGGACTACAGGCGCACAGCACCATGCCCGGCTAATTTTTTTTATTTCTTGTAGACACTGGGTTTCACTGTGTTGCCCAGGGTGGTCTCAAACTCCTAACCACAAGCAATTACCCACTTTGGCCTCCCAAAGTGTTGGGATTATAGGCATGAGCCACTGTGCCAGGTGGAAGTTTATAGTTCTAATGACTCTCAGGTGATGCTGATGCAGCTGGCACAGGAACCACACTTTGAGGAGGCACAAGGCACTTAGTACAGCCCATGGCTGGTTTCACAGCCCCCAGTAGACAATACGGATTGCCCACACTTCATACCAAAGGGTTATTACTGAGTTGCGTGGTGGGCTGGAGCAGCAGTAGTGGGTAGGGCTCAGGTTATGGTTCTGGGGCCGGACTGTTTGGGTCATGGCCTCGAGTCCTCTATTCCTGTGCCCTCGGATGCTTCATGGCTTGGATGTGGACCCTGTTACATGACCGCGGTCTCGCCATCTGACTCTCTCTGATTAGTTTCCTGGTCAGTTAAATGGGGAAATAATATTCACAAAATTAGGGCCATGGGATGGTGAGTGTTGGAAATAGATGCTCGGTGCCACAAAGTAAAATTAGCACTGAAACAAGCATCTTTCGGCAATGCAGTTTTTACTTCCTGGACTGCAGGAAGGGTACCCTCGCTAGCCATCATGCCACGAGAGTACGGTGAATAAAGGAAAATACACAAATTTATCCCTTAGGCATTTGGGGTTGTCATTACTGCTGTGTCTGATCTCCATTGGCTGGAGCCAGACCTCACAATCTAAAACCCGACTGGCTAATAACTTAAAACTTTTCTAAACAGGTACAAGCAATGGAGAGCTGGGACATGCCTGTGAGCAAGTCTAGCAGATACCTTGGTTAAAAAGTACAAGGACATAGAATGTACTACATGCTTGTAAGCATGGCATGTCTAACAGCTACATAGGATAGAGCTTCACAAAGTTATTAGCACACTGATTCTTTAGCAAGAAAGGAAACTTTAAAAGGAACTTTTCTACTTCCCGCAGTGAGACTCTCACTCCCCCTTTACCATGGCCTGCTTCGTATGAAAAACCATCCCCACTTCTGCTGCTGGAAGGCCTTTAACTTAGTGGCTCTGCACGTCTAGTTTCCATTTGGAATTTTTTAGTTTAGAAGACTCTGAGTGACAGACTTATTTTAAAAATCAAAGTAGGTAAAAAAATGAATAAGGGTTGCAGAGAGTATTCAGAGCGGACAGTGAGAGCTCATGGGGGTGAAGACTCAGGCCTTGATCTGCGCAGTTACCTGGAAAATAGAATCCCTCCGGGATGCTGAGCTTGGGGCTGAGGCCGCTGGGTCCTTCTCCGCACTTTAGAAAAAATGTAATCCACCTAAACACACACCTCTAACCTCTCTGTTCTTCTCCTGGATGAAAGATTTGGGTGATGAATAACATGACAGGCTGGGCCACACTTCTCCACATCACCTGAAGGGCCAGGAAATAGAAATAACAAGTGTGTTTAAGGAGTCATTTTAGGTCTGAGGCAGTGGCTCACATCTATAATCCCAGCACTTTGGGAGGCTGAGGCAGGAAGATCACTTGAGCCCAGGAGTTCAAGGCCAGCCTTGGCAACATAGTGAGACCCTATTGCTACCAAAAAAAAGCCAGGTGTGGTGGTGTGCACCTGTGGCCCAGCTCCTTGGGTGGCCCAGGTGGGAGGATCACTTGAGCCTAGGAGTTTGAGGCTGCAGCGAGCTGTGACTGTGCCACTGCGCCACTGCACTCCAGCCTAGTGAAAGAGTGAGACCCTGTGTCTGTAAACAGGAAGAAATCACTTCAGTACAAATTCTTCCTTTTGAAGAATTTCAAGCGCTTAATTGCTTTGCTTGTGCTAACTCCTTAAGGAAGCAGGTGGGTATTTGGGCCAACCCCCTAGCCTGGGAACCACACTTTATGCCTCCTCAGCTAGGCTGGAAACCAAACCAGTGCTTCCCCAACTTCAGCGCACAGTAGCGTCTCCAGGAGGGCTTTTTAAAACAGAGTCTCAGGGCCCAGCCCCCAGGTTTCTGATTCAGCAGGACTGGCGCGTGATTGAGAATTTATATTTCTTTCCTTTCTTCTCCTCCTTTTTTTTTTTAAGACAGATTTTTACTCACGTTGCCCAGGCTGGAGTGCAGTGGTGGGATCTCGGCTCACTGCAACCTCCACCTCCTGGGCTCAAGCGATTAATTCTCCTGCCTCAGCCTCCTAAGTAGCTGGGATTACGGGTATCTACCACGATGCCCTGCTAAAATTTTTGTTCCTTAGTAGGGACGGGGTTTCGCTATGTTGGCCAGGCTTGTCTCAAACTCCTGACCTCAGGTGATCCACCTGCCGTGGCCTCTTAAAGTGCTGGGATGACAGGCATGAGTCACCATGCCCAGCCTCCTTTTCATATTTTTTTCAGAGAGAGTCACCCACACTGGAGTGCAGTGGTGTGATCATAGCTCACTGCAGCCTTGCGGGGAGCTGTGCGTAGGGGGAGATGTGAGTGTGCGGAGCGGTAAGTGGGGGGAACTGTGAGTAGGTAAGCTGTGATGGGGAGTGGTGAGTGGGGAGGAGTGGTGAGTGGGGTGAGCTGTGATGGGGGAGGCATTGATGGGGGAGTGGCAAGTGTGGTAAGTGGTGAGTGGGGGAGCCCTGACAGAGGAAGCCTTGATGGAGGAGCATTCATGGGCAGAACAGGAATGGGGGAGTGGTGGGTTGGGGGAGCATTGATGGGGTAAGGGGTGATGGGGCAGTGGTGATGGGAGAAGGGGCAATGGGGGAGTAGTGATGGGAGAAGGGGCAATGGGAGAAGTGGTGATGGGAGAAGGGGTGATGGGAGAAGGGGCGATGGAGGAGTGGTGATTTGGGACTGGTGATGGGGGAGGGGAGATGGGAGAAGGGGTGATGGGGGAGTGGTGATGGGAGAAGGGATGATGGGGGAATGGTGATGGGATAAGGGGCGATGGAAGAGTGGTGATTTGGGACTGGTGATTTGGGACTGGTGATGGGGGAGGGGAGAAGGCAGAAGGGGTGATGGGGTAGTGGTGATGGGAACAGGAGTGATGAAGGAGTGGTGATGTGGGAAGGGGTGATGAGGGTGTGGTGATGGGGGAGTGGAGATAGAAGGGGTGATGGGAGAAGGGGTGATGGGGGAGTGGCGATGCGGGAAGGGGTGATGGGGGAGTGGTGATGGGAGAAGGGGTGATGGGAGAAGGGGTGATGGAGTGATGATGGGAAAATGGGTGATGGGAGAAGGGATGAGGGGGGAGTGGTGATGGGAGAAGGGATAATGGTAGAAGAAGGGGTGATGGGAGAGGGGTGACGGGAGAAGGGGCGATGGGAGAAGGGGTGATGAGAGAGTGATGATGGGAGAAGGGGTGATGGGGAATGGTGATGGGAGAAGGAGCGATGGGGGAGTGGTCATTGGAGAATGGGCAATGGGAGAAGGGGTGATGGGAGACTGATGATAAGAACAGGGGTGATGGGGAAATGGTGATGGAGTGGTGATGGGAGAAGGGGTGATGGGAGAAGTGATGGAGTGGTGATAGAAGAAGGGGTGATGTGGGAGTGGTGATGGGAACAGAAGTGATGAGAGAAGGGGAGATGGGGGAGTGGTGATGAGAGAAGGGGTGATGGGAGAAGGGGCGATGGGGGAGTGGTGATGGGAGAAGTGGCGATCGGGGAAAGGGTGATGGGGGAGG